GAGTCTGAGGATTCTAAATCCTCAGCCTCCTCAGGGTTCTCCCACACATCTCCATCCCACGTGTCAGGATTCCAACCTTCCCTACCAGTGCCCTCACCTTTACTGCTGACACTGTTCGAGGCTGGGAATTAAATTTGCATTGTAGGTCAGCCAAACGTATAACAATGGCTCCAGCTTGATTTTCTGCAGCTTTACCTCTCTGGATGCTGGAGAGAAGATTCTCTTCCAGGGCACACTTGGAAACTTTTAAACTGTTGATTCGAATCTGGAACTTGTCAATTTTATCATTAAGCTCACTGTTTATCTTCATCACTTTATCCAGAGATGCTAGAAGTAACCAGCCAGCATCACTATTTTTCTTATTTTTCCACAAACTGTTAGATGTTTTATGTATAGAGTCACTAAATTTCTTGCTCTTCACAAGAGGTGAGTTAAAAGATTCAAATGTGTCTATATCCATAATTGTTTCAAATAGTCTATACCATGGATTTTCAGCGCTCTCCACACTACCTAAAAAGACTCTGAGTTGGAGAGCCTGCTCCAAATACCAAGTAGCCCATTAAAGAAATTCATCCTTTCAACTCTGTTTCTCTAGAACCACTTCTGGTACCACAATCTGTATTAGTCAGGGTTCTCCAAAGAAACAGAACTGGTAGAATGAATATATATGTATAGAGATTTATCAGCTTAGCTCACAGGATAGAGTCTGAGTAGGCCAACAATGGCTGCACCACACTGAAGAGGCTGAGAATCCGTAGTTGCTCAGTCCACGAGGCTGGATGTCTCAGTAGTCCCAATCTGGGGCTGAAGGTCTGACGAATTCCAAAAGATCAGCTAGTCTTCAGTCTACAGCAACAAGATGAACTCACCAGAGAGAAGGCAAGCAGCAAGAAGCCAGGTGTTCTCCTTTTCCATGGCCTTTTATATGGGCTGCCATCAGAAGGTAACACCCACATTTAGGGCATGTCTTCCAGCTTCAGATGATCCAATTAAGATCTCTCATTTCAGTTAATCCCAGATCCAATCAAGTTGACACCCAAGATTAGCCATCACAAAGGGATAAAGAGACCATTTAAGCAAGTTTATTGAAGGTCTGAGCAGGTTTATAGAGATATAAGGTTGTTCTAATAATTACTGTTACAGCCAAAATTTTCCATGCACTCCCCTGGTTTGTACTGCATTCCAGTTACAGTCCTAGATTAAATAGATGCAGACAAGTATTAGGCTACTGAAAGATGTCCTTTATGTGTCTCTGTATTATGCAAGTGTTACTTCTGGTGTTTTCCTGTGCCCGTAACAAGATAATTTGGCTCAAGAGGAGCTAGGCTTTGCTTTCCTGTACCAGATTGGTACAGTATGTAGAAGGAAACAGTTTCGATGAGCTTGGTCTGAGCCCTGATCAGCTTATTTCCTGTTTATAGGTATGTGATGTGACCCCCCGCTTCCAAGAACTATAAATATGGGGGCTGGAAAAGAAATAACTGCTTCTGTTTATAGTAAAAAAAAAAAAAAAAAGATGATCTGTCCTATCTTTGATTTTTTTTTTTTACTTAACAACCGTCAACGATGAACCGTAACTTTTCAAAGAAACTGCTACCACTTGCAGAGCTTGCCAGCACTCATTCGAGCAACAAAAGTTCCAAGGAATTTTGTTTTGAAATAACTTGGTAGATGTCTTTGTTCTTGTAATACCAAGCAATGAGGCACAAAGGAATGCCACGTAGTGATAGTAGAATTAAGAGTCCTTTAATAACTAGCCAGTAGTTGAGAGTGGCTATGGTCAGAAAGAACTCTCAACCCTGAGGAGAAGCAGAGCAGGGTTTATAAAGCTTAAAACCAATTATGTCATGCCAAGGGTAAAGCCAATAACCAGTTACACCAGATCATCATAGTTACTCAAGACCAGGGGCAGGTCCATTAACAAAGAGGTTTTAAGTTAACAAAAGTTTCTAAGCTTTGATTAGAAAAAGCATGTTTCCACGAATTGCAGAAACAATAAACTCCATGGAGCTGCAAGTACATCTGGATGAGAGAACATTCTGCCTGGCTAGTTATAAGTAGGAACAATGCACTCCCAGAAACTGCAGGTGTAGCCTTCATGTCCAGTCTGCCTGGATGACTACAGTTAGAGTGGGGTGGGGAGAATCACAGGGTGAGCAAAAGTCAGCTAGAATAAAATGGAGTCAGATTTGCCATTTCAGTTCTCATAAAACTCCAAAAGTTGCCTTAATCTCCATTGGCCTATGCATGTGTCTTAGACTGTAATCTTATTCTTTATTTCCAAATAAAAGTTCTTGTATTGAAGATATCTCTATTTTTATTTCTTTTTCCCATTTTTCATGTGTATAGTGTGTACACATGTTTATGCATATGTGTGTACACATGAGTACATGTGGTGGCCCAAGGCCAATGTCTCATATCATCAGATAGCTCTTCTATTTTACTTTTTGAGGCAGGGTCTCTCAATCAAACAAAGAGTTCACAGCTATGGCTATTGCTAGCCAGCTTGCTCTGGAGAACCCTGCCTCCTTATGAGACTGGAGTTACAGGCAGCTGCCAAGTCCATACAGCATTTAGGGGGCTTTACATGGGTTTCTGGGGACAGAAACTCCAGTCCTCACACTTCACAGCAAGTAGTTTCCCCTCTGAGCCATCTCCCCAGACCATCTCTTTATTTTTGTTTGACACTGACTCCTCCAAAGCACATTTTTGGTTCATTTAATTCACTTGTCTTTTACCTGGCATGCTGATGTTCAGTCCCTAGCACTGCATAAATCAAGTGTGATGGCACATGTCTATAATCCCAGAACTCAGGAGGTGCAGACAGGAAGATCAGAAGTTCAAGGTCATTCTCAGCCACAGAGTGAGTTAGAGACTAACCTAGACTACCTGTGACCTTTATAAATAAATAAATAAATAAATAAATAAATAAATAATAAATTGCAAAAACAAGCTGGGTAGGGTGGTTCATACCTATAACTTAGAAGTCGGAGGCAGGAAAACTGCTGTGAATTTAAAGCAAAACTGAGCTATATAGAGATATCCTATCTCAAAGAGGGGAGAGGACAAAGTCAGAGAAAAATAAATGCAAATTAATAAACATACAACATTAAACAGAATCATAAGGGCAAAAGCAAATAACTGAAAACAAATGCGAAGTAGTTGCTATATTATTTGGGACAAAATTAATTTTAATTATTTATTATCATATGTATATATATATGATGCATATGTGTATGTGTATGAGTGAGGATATACACACATAAAGTCAGAAGACAACTTTTGGAAGTCAATTCTTTCCTTCCACAGCAGATTCTGGTGACCAAACTCAGGTAGTCAGGCTTATACAACAAGTACATTACCTGCTGAACAACCTCGCTGGTCCACAAGAGTAATTTTGAAACTTAATTTTCTATTTGCAAATAGAAACTAACTGCCTTTAGATGAAATTTCAATAACTGAGTACTGGGTATAAAATCCCTACCTTTTTCCAGTTTACATGAACTAGAAAATTTATCAAAATCATTAAAGTCCACAGTAAGATACCACACACACTCATTAGAAGGGTCAAAATGAAAAAAATTAAAATCATCAACTACTGCCAAGGTTAAGTAAACAGAACTTTCCTATATTGCTAGAATTATAAAATGCTACAATCACTTCAGAAAATAGCACAGGTGTCTGTCCACAGAAGAATGGACAAATGAACTGCAGTAAATTCATATACCACACTACTCATAAACCAACATTATGCTAAGGGGAAAAAATCCTCAACAAAATTAAGTGCATACTATGCAATTTCACGGACAAAAGTTAGAAAATAAGCCAAACGTTCTAGGATGACAGAATTCAAGTTCAACAACTGCTTCTGACAGGCAAGAATGAACAGAGGAACTTTCTAATTCTATATGTGGATATATATTATATAAGCATTTGCCAAAACGAATCAAACTTTACATGGAAAAAACTTTACATGTTGTTATAGTTTATACCACAAGTTTAAAAAGAAATCATTAAGACATAGAACCCATTCAGAGCCAGTATTATGGTTTGAATATCAAATGTCCCCCTACAATGCAATGTTGAGAAAGTGGGGCTTTAAGAAAGTAATTAATTATGAGGGTTCTAATTCAATCAATGACAAATTAATAATAACTTAATAACTCAATGAAGTTAATCACTGAATTCATAATTTGATGGCACTATGGGAAGATGATGGTCACAGAAGGAGGAGTCCCACTGGAGGAAGGTCACTGGAAACATGCCCTTGAAGGACAGACCTCGTTCCCAGCCCATCCTCCTGATGTTTCCTGGCTGCCATGAAGTGAGCAGCTCTGCTTCACCATATATCCTTCTGTCATGAGGTACTGCTTCACCACAGGTTCCAAACACAGCACAAGGACCAAGACTGGTGGGGCATAGTGGCGCACACCTTTAATCCCAGCAGTCAGAAGGCAGAGGCAGGCAGAGCTCTGTGAGTTCCAGGCCAATCTGGTCTACACAGTGAGTTCCAGGCCAGCTGGGGCTACAGGGAGACCCTGTCTCAAAAAGACCGGGGGATAAAAAAAAAGAAAAGAAAAGAAAAAGAAAAAGACCAAGACTGAAAGCACTGAAGCTGTGAACCAAAAATAAGTCTGTTTTAAGTTGGTTTGCTTAGGTATTGAAGTAAATCAAATAAGTTGATGAAAAGTTAACAAAAATAGATTGTAGTCTTGATAGGGCAGTAACTTTATTACCCCAGGCTAAAAAGCTTTTTAAAGTGTCCTATCAAGACTGCAATCTATTTTTGTTAACTTTTCATCATTACTATTGATTTGTCAACATTACTGTAGCTGAAATACTGTTGTTTTACAAATAAAAGTACATTGAAATATTCTACAGATACATCTCTGTAAATAAGATGAATTCTTTCAAAACAAAAAAGGTTTTGTTAAAAAGAAATAAAGGATAAAAGAAACTTTCCTGGCTTTCCACTGAAAGAAATTTAAATCATACAATACCTTTAAAGTTTTTGAAACTGATACTTTTTCCTGTTTCAAACTTTTCATTTCAGGAACAGCATGGGAATTTCCTTTCAATCTCTGTATTGTCATAAACTCATGCTTCCTCTGTAATAATATTTTATTCATGAATTAAATAACAATCGTATACGATGTAAACAAATCCAAAACAAATTATTTAAAAATTCATGAGATAGGCTGGAAAAATGGCTCAATGGTTAAGAGCAATTACTGCTCTTCCAGAGGGCCCAAGTTCAATTTTAAGCACCTATGTTGGGTGGCTCACAACCACTTGTACTCCAGGTCCGGGGGAATCCAATGCCCTCCTCTGGACCCTGTGGGTATCTATAGCACACGTATGGCAACCATTCACTCAGACACACAAGCATACACATTTTTAAAAATTACTTTAAAAGAATTTATTGGAGAAAAATAAAGCAACTTACCTGTAAGTTATCTAAACGAGCTTGAACTCTTTTAGCCTGAATCTCCAACTTCCTGTTTTCTTCACTTACTTCATTTAGCTAAGGAAAGGAAAAATTCTTTTATTTCAATATAAATCTCAAAGTTTTTTCATACTAAGAGTTTCCTAATCCATTATTTAATCTGGTATGCCTGACAGTTTGTTTGGACGTTCGAGCAGGGGAGCACAGCTACTTGCACACCCTTGACCAAAGACCAGTCCTCTTTTATTGGGGAAGGTACTGTTCTTTGACTGAACGTGCAGCTTCAGGAGGGATGCACACAGAGCAGTGAGGGAGGAAGGAAGGGGACAACTGCCTAACCAGCCAGATCAGCCAAATCAACTGTAGAAGTCTAATGGGGTGACAGCCGTCACAGTCAGAATGCCCTCACAACCTAATCTGTTATACTAACCAAGTAATGTAACAAAACAGGTAACAGTCATCATTTCACTTTTACCCTAAAACATTACTAGCATCTAGAGAATAAGTGTTCTATGAAAAATTTACAAGACTCCTGTTGTTAACTAGATAGAATGTGGAATCACAAGACAGTCCTCCAGGCACATCTAATCTCTGAGGAATTAAACTAGGTTATCCTTTGGGTGTGCTTTGATTAGGTTAACTGGGATGGGAAAATCTACTCTAAAAGAGGATGATTCCATTCTCTAGGTTTGGGTCCTGGTCTGCATAAAAGGAAGAAGCTGGTAAAGGATGGGTATTCATTGCTCCCTGCTTCTTGACTACAGATGCAGTGTCATCAGCTGCCTCCTTAAGCTTCTTGCCACCATGCTTTCCCAACCCTGATGGACTGTACCCCCAAACTGTGAACCAAAGTAAGCCTTTCTCCCTTGAGTTGCTTTTGTCAGGGTATTTTATCACATAAACAGGAAAAGTAACTAAGTTAACTCCTAAGATCTTAAAATTCTAATAGGAAATATTTTTGAAGTAAAATTTTGACTCATAACATGAAAAGTATACAAATGAGTATGTACTGCAATGAGTTATTATTGGGGTTGTAGTACATACATAAATAATGGGAAGAATTGACATGCTAAAACTCATCTTAACTGTCAACTTGAATGGATTTAGAATCATCATGGAAACACATCTATGGGCCATGCTTCACTGCCACCTGAACCCAGCTCCTTTGGCCTTCCAACATGGACTGAGGACAAGAGGCTCTTCAGGAATCCCCTAGGCCTTCAACACTAGATTGGGTCTGCTGAGGCACCCAGACTCATGGACTAAGCAGCCACCAAGTTCTCAGGCTCTACAGCAGACAGCCACTGTTGGGATGACCCAAGCTATATATATCATATAAGCCAATATAACAAATCTTTTGTAACAAATATTCATTCTGTTGGTCCTATTCCTCTAAAGAGCCCCAATATATCTTTACATATTTGGCTCTCCTGTTACTCTGGGGTTTGTTTGTTTTTTTAATTTTATGTGTATTTGTGTACTGCCTGAATGAATGTAAGTGCACCCGTGTCATGCAATGCCTGCGGAGGTCAGAAGAGGATGTCGGATCCCCTGAGACTGGAGTTACGGACAGTTGTTAGCGGTCATGTTGGTGCTGGGATTCAAACCTGGGTCTTCTGTAAGAACAACCAGTGTTCTTAACCACTGAGCCATCTCTCTAGCCCATTTTTTTGCTTTTTTTAAGAAATATGTTTATAAGGGGTTGGTGATTTAGCTCAGTGGTAGAGTGCTTGCCTAGAAAGCACAAGGCCCTGGGTTTGGTCCTCAGCTCCGAAAAAAAAAAAAGTTTATTTCTAAATCGTCTACTAATATCTTTTATGACTATTAGGTTTGTGGGGTTTTTTTCCTTTTTTTATTCATATAAGCGGGTCCCAGGAGCTTGTAGGACTCTGTTTCCATATGGTCATGTACCTCCTCCCTGGCTCTTACAATCGCTCCACCCCCTCTTCCATGATGGTCCCAGAGCCCTGGGTGAGTGAAGTTTAATATAGGAGCCCTGTCCAAGGTCCAGCATTCTGCAGATTCTTAATCTCTACATTTTGGCCATTTGTGACCTTTTGTGTTCCTGGGTCTCTTTATGCATGAGGGAGCTTCATTAATGAGAACTGAGAGAATCATAGGGAAACAAACAGCAGACCTCAATCTTAGCTGAAGAAATACTGGCAACTGATTACTGCTAGGTGAGAAAGAGCTGATTTTCCTAAAACAAGGGATTCTAGATAGGCTGACTACACCTCAGTAGATGGACTTACACCGGGGAACATCTGGGGACACTGACTTGACACAGTGGGCCTTAACAAAGATGACAGAGTATATGGGTTCCAGTGGGGATATGGGAGGGTGCCCATGGGGACAGGGGTATAAAGATGATTAAGATTGTTTGATATATTCTGTATGAAATACACAAAAATTCAATAAGAAAAAAAGAAAAACCAATTATGCTGGGAATGGTGGTATACACCTTTAATCCCAGCACTCAGCAGGCAGAGACAGGTGGATCTCTGTGAATTCAAGGCCAGCCTAGTCTATATACAAAAAAGGAAGGAAGGAAGAGACAGAAGAAGGGAGAGAGAAAGAAAGGGAAGGAAGGAGGGAGGGAGGGAGGGAGGAAGGGAGGAAAAGAAAAAGAAAAATTACAACTCTCATGCTAAGTAATTATAAGTAATTAAAGTACCACTTTATACTCATAAGAAAGACTATGAGCAACACGAAGGCCTGAGTACAGTACAATGCCCAACATTTAGTAGACGCTTAAATTAGAAGTGGTGTGTAATAGTGGTTACAGTAGGTAATAATCAGTGCCTAATAATCAGTGCCTAAATGTTGATTAGTTCTCAAGTTATCAAGCTTTTTTTCTTGTACTTTAATATTTTATTTTATGTGTATGAGTGTATTGCCTGCATGTATGTGAGTGCACCTGTGTCATGCAATGCCACGGAGGTCAAAAGAGGGCTTCGGATTCCCCTGGAACTGGAGTTAAGGATGGTTCATAGCCACGATGTGGGTGCTGGGAATCGAACCCAGGTGCTCTGTAAGAGCAGTCAGTGTTCTTAACTGTTGAGCCATCTCTCCAGCCCCTCTTGTACTTTTTTTATCTAGTCATGCTCACTTATTTTTGTTTTCTAATTGCCAAATATATCATCAGCTGTTTGTCAAAACAGAGGAAGAAAGAACTTGACTATTTTATTTATATTTGCAAATGACTTATAATAAATCTAAAAATTTTAATCAAAATTCTCTCAGGTTTAAATACAGCCTAAGACCAGCTTAAATTTACTAAATACAATTCTTGGGTCTTAAAATCTAACATATATGAAAATAGTTCTTACCTGTTTTCTTAAATTATCATTCAGTTCTTTCAGGGTATCAAAAGAGGACCTTATTCTCTTGCTTTCTTTATTCTTTTCCTTAATAGTTTCAGTTAAGTGTTTAACTTCTGCATTATGTTGCTAGAAGGCAAAAAAAAATCTGATCTAAAAGTTAGCTAAGAATTCTGTAGCAATAGGGCATTATCTAGCATGCTTGAGGCCCTGGGTTAGAACCCCACCCCCAAAAAATATATATACACACACAAAATAATTAAAAATCAGAAATCCTTCAATCGCAAAAACTCTAATCAACATTTTAGTATAAGTGACTAATATGGTAAATAATTTACCAAAATCTGTGTAAACAACCAAAGAAACAACAAAACCTCATTTGGGGGCAAGGCATCTGTGAAGGTAAACAAAACAAAACAAAAACAAACCCAAAATATCATCATACAAATTAAGCAGTAAAAAAATCAATTTTTGTTTCTGCTCAGAAAAATTCACCCAAAGTAACTGAAATTTTCCTATTTGACACTGTAAATTAATAAAACAACAAAGGATTTCTGATCTTTTTCAAAAGAGCATTATATAAAGCTTCATAGACTAAATTGTAAGATTTACATTATGCTTCAGGAATGCAAGAACTATTTTATAGCGCTGGGGATGCAGCTCAGTGGTACAAACTACAAGCACAATGTATAAAGTTTGAGCTCCAACACAAAATAACAGCAGTAGCAAAGGAAAACTCTACAGGTAGTATACACTAATTGTTTTCGTGTATGTTTGTGTGTGATGTATGTGGTATACCTACACATGTGATGTGTGCATGGCATATTTGTGTCCTGGGGAGTGCACACACAAAGGCAAAAGGAGGATGTTAAGTGTCCTGCTCTATCTCAGCCATATTTCCTCAAGACAAGGAGCTAGGTTGCTGACTAGCAAACCCAGCAATCCTATCTCTGGCCCTAACCAAGTGCTGGGATTATGGGTGTGCATGACTACACCTGCCTTTTTATTTTATTTGCTTTTTTTTTTTTGAGACAGGGTCTCCCTGCAGCCCTAGCTGGCCTGGAACTCACTATGTAGACCAGGCTGGCCTTGAACTCACAGAGGTCCACCTGCCTCTGCCTCCCAAGTGATGGGATTAAAGGCGTGCACCACCACGCCCTGCTACACCTGCCTTTTTACATGGGTGCTGGAGATTTTAACTCAGCTCCTCAGGCTTGTGCAGCAAGTGCTTTTACCTGCTGAGTCATCTTCCCAGGCCCCAAATTTGTTTAATGGGGATAATAAAGCAGCTGAAATATATGTATGTGATTTGTATGCACACACTTGTGTGCACATTAGGAAAATATGGACTATACAGCTGAGAGCCAGGCATGGTGGTGCACGCCTTTGATCTCTGCACTCAGGAGACAGAGGCAGAGGCAGGCGGATCTCTGCAAGATCGAGGCCAGCCTGGTCTACATAGTGAGTTCCAGGCCAGCTGAGGCTACAGGGAGAGCCTGTCTCAAAAAGGCCAAAAAAAAATATAATCAATCAATAAATGAATAAATGAACAAAATACTATAAATAAAATATTTCAGGGCTTCCTTGTAAGAACCTGACCCCTCCACACATTGCCCACCTACAAGGGGTTTCAGGAGCATCTATGACTTCCTCAACCTTGAATTTTCATGATTGAAAACAGCATCATGTGGCCAACACTGCCAAATTCTGTGCTATCTTGAGATGCAGGCTGGTCCCTTCCAGCATAGCTGTAGTGTTCTCTGTATGCCTTTGAGCCGGACCCTGTAGAAACAATTAACATGGCAGATATAGGGAATTTATTCAGGAGTGTTACGTTCAGGCTCCTATCAAGTGACTTTGCTTTTTCACAAGATGAAACCTTTCATGGTCAGAGTTTTGTCTCAAGACATCGTTTCTGTCTTTTTAATGCAGAGGTTGAGGTTGAGCTTTCCTTTTAATGGTGCTAATCTCTCTAACAATTACGGCTGCTTTCTCTTCACCCATTTGCCTGCAACTTGAAACTTACACCTTTCCTTGCCAAAGGCCACATTTCTCCACGTCTTTCT